TGAGTTTTCTATTGCCACCCAATGTCATTATCCCTAGTCAACCCCTTTGAGCCTCTAATCTTTCTCATTTGATAACCATGTTATAAGCCTTTACCCACTTTGTCGTGACCCTCTCTTGGTACCTGAGCTTTCCTTAACACTCTTGTGAAATAAATGGCTTAAAACATAAGTTTGTGGGAGAGATGATGAACTTGAAAATGGTATCAAGGCACAAAAAGAGAAAAGAAATTATCTCTATGAGAAGAGAAGGAAAGAAAAGAAAAGAGCAAAAAGAAAAATGCAAAAAATGAATAAGTGGAAGGGTTGAATGGATTCAAAAAGAGGTAATGATCCCAAACATGGAGAAATCAAAAAGGGAGAAAAACAAAGTCCCTAAATGGAATTTTCTTTCCAAGAATTCTTCGAACAAAGCCACTTGTTCGAGTTCTTCTTGCGGTTGATTTTGTCGCATCCTTCTCTTCCGGTACCTCAAAAGATCTTGGTACCTGATATATTTCCGATGACTCCTCGTCTTTATCATCTTCGATCGAGATAGAGAAAGGCACCGGTTCCTGTAATTATTATTTACTCGTTTCTTTGCCCTTGCTACTGGAAAGGTTACTGTGTTCATCTCACTCACGGCCGGCTGATCTGCTTGATCCCTTCTGGTGTCGGAAACTTTAACAGATGATGGTATGTAGATGATACAACCTTCATTTCATGTATCCAAGGCCTTCCAGGGATTATATTATAGCCCATGTCGCCATCAACCACTTCGAACCGGGTGGCCTTGGTTACTCCTTCGGCATGTGTGGGCAGCAGGATTTCTCCTCAAGTTGTCAAACTCATTAAGAGTGAACCCGACCAAATGCTTTATTGCCGGAAATATGTTCCCAGTCAGCTTTGCTTGCTACAAAACTCTCCATTGTATGATGTTGGCGGAACTTTCTGGATCAACCAATACACATTTAATTTTAAAATCTAAAACATTAAGGAAAATTACCAAAGCATCATTGTGTGGTAGAAGAAGTCCCTCAGCATCTTCTTCTGTGAAATGGATGTCATCTTCTAAAACTTCTCGGATCCTCTTGCGATGAGTCACCGATATCTTCATCTTCTTTGCTACTGAAAATGTCACCCTTACTTCATCTCCCCCAAAGATCATGTTCATCGTCATCCGAGGTGACCCTACTACCGGTTTTGATGGTTCTGCAACATCCTGGTTTCTTCCATAGTTGTTCTTGGCACTGTTGCTTAAAAACTCACTGAGGTGACCATTCTTCAACAACATTTCCACCTCTTCACGAAAATGTCGGCAGTCCCCAGTCCTGTGGCCGTGAGTCCCATGGAATTCACACTATAGGTTAGGATCCATTTGGCTAGGATCCGATCGAATTGGTTTCGGGAACCTAGCTTCTTTAATATTCCTCATTATCGACACCAATTCTACTAAACTGATGTTAAAATTGTAGTTGGATAATCTGGGATATGTTGAATCCCGAGACCCCGACGTCTCTTTCTCTTGCAACGATCTGTTACTCTGACCACGATGCGCCCTTCTATCAGAAGCGAACCTGCCTGATGACTGAAAATATTTATTAACACGCCAACCGACCCTCTCATAAGGTTGAAAAGGACTTCTGGAGGACCTTTGATCTGCATCAAAATTATTTTTAAATTTATCTTGATTCTGATCCCGATTCTGACCTTTGGAAGACACCGAGAAGCCAAGTTGATCATCTTCCATTCTGATCTTTGACTCGTAGCGATTGTGAAAATATGCCCATGTGGTTGCTTGAAATTCTAGCAAGCTTTCCTTCGATTTTTGGGGGGCATCGGAGCTCATGGTTTGAGACCCTTTGTAAATGCCTCTATCGTCCACCCATCCCAGTACCGCTGGTAACAACCTCCTTTCCTTCTGAAATTGGATCACTAACTCTCGCAAAAGTTCAGATTCTCCTTGGGATATTCTGAATATATCCGCCTTCCTTGCCTGGACCTTTTTGCTCCATCATGAGCTTTGATAAATGAATCTGCAAGCATTTTAAAAGAATCAATAGAATGCTTAGGTAAGAGAGAGTACCAAGTTAAGGCACCCTTCGTCAGGGTTTCGCCAAACTTCTTCAACAAAACAGATTTAATCTCATGTTGGGCTAGGTTGGTTCCCTTTATTGTTGTAGTATAGGTCGTGATGTGTTTCAGTGGATCCGAAGTCCCATCATATTTTGGTATATACGGCATCTTAAACCTCTTTGGGATCAACTCCGGAGTCGCATTTGGTTTAAATGGCAACTGCATATATTTCTTGGAATCTGGACCCTTTAACACCGGCGGCGCTCCCGGGATCTGATCCATCCAAGCATGAAACTCCTTAGTATTCTGGTTCATTCGTTCATTCATTTCTCTCATGAATCTCATGAGCTCAGATTTGAATGGGTCATTTATGTTGTTGTCATTCTCAGATCCACGTCTGGTGCCTCCTGCCTCGTCGAAACCGAACTCCTCCCTTGGAGCGTTATTATCGTTCTTTCAACTGTTTGATTTGCATGAACGCTGGGAGGAAACAAGGCTCTTCCATTGGCATTATTGGAAGCACTCGACAACTCCTGCTTCAACTCCGTCATCACCCGATTTTGCCTTGAAAGGTGATCCATAATTGCTCTTTGCTGCTCTCTCAAGATTTTGACCGTTTCAATAACGTGTTCGTCATCTGCATCATCATGAATTGGACTTCTCACATGTTGAGGATTCTAACCTTTGCGAACTGGAGTTGTTTCATTCCTTTCATTACGGGTTTCGTTGGTCGAATCATCACGTTGAAACACATCGTCACGTGCACAACTATAAATATAGATATTCTCTGTTACGACCACTCATTGAATGCTACCCGATGCCCATACTTTGAACCTTTGTCATCAGCTACTCTGTCTTCGAGATTCAACCGACACTGGTCACATGCTTGCAACCCGTATCGACTATTTGCTGATTCACATCCTACCTGTCTTTAGCTCAACGAGTCACCTATTCATTTGTTCAAATGTCACTAACCAGTTTTACCGTATACAATTATGACTCATTATTTTGAGTTGGTCTCAATCTTTTTTTATAAGTGAATAGAACTTTAATTATTCATTTGTTAAAGAATTTTGAGAGTCAAAAATGCTAATTAAGAAATTTGATGCATTATTTGCGATAGGAACTATTAAGCGAGCATTGGCCGGTTAGTGTTTTAGCCGTGTTTCAGATGCACAGTCGGGCACCTGGGGTATAAGTCTTGTAGAACTAAATCCCACAAGTGATCCTCACGGCGTTTTGATAGTGCTCCATCCCGGGACGAGGCGAATTTCAAGAAAGCCTTTTAAAACATTGATTTGAATAATTTATCTCAGTATAAAATCCCGCATTAGGTAATATCGTGTTAGATGGTGTCTATCTTTGCATAATTAATGTAGCGTTTGGTGGGCGATATTAAGTAATAATGGTATTTAAAGACAAAAATGGCTTTTTAAAGCAAGTGACTTTATATATAAATATCTTTTCGCTATTAATTGTTGCACAATGATCCTTTTGTTATTAATCACACATAAAAAATTCGTATTATAGTCCTAATTAAATAGCTAGTATGTGAACCAAATTATCCCTTATTAGTCAAGCTGATGAGTAAATCGAATGGAGATTGTCTTAGGCCTCTGATGAGTAAATCAAGGGGAGGTGAGGTTGGATTCACAAGTCATCCTTAGGAGGGGGAGTTTTAAGTACCTTAGGTCTATTATACAGTGGGCTGTGTAGATTGATGAAGATGTCACACATCGTATTGGGGCGGGATGGATGAAATGAAGATTTGCTTCCGGTATTTTGTGTGACAAGAAGGTACTACCAAAACTTAAAGGTATGTTTTATAGAGCGGTGGTCAGACCGACTATGTTGTATGGGGTTGAGTGTTGGCCAGTCAAGAACTCTCACGTCCAGAAGATGAAGGTAGCAAAGATGAAAATGTTGAGATGGATGTGCGGGCACACCAGATTAGATAAGATTCAGAATGAAGTTATTCGGGATAAGGTAGGTGTGGCCCCTATTGAGGACAAGATGCGGGAAGCATGACTTAGATGGTTTGGACATATGAAGAGGAGAAGCACACACGCTCCGGTAAGGATGTATGAGGGGTTGACATTGGAGGGCCTTAGGAGAGGTAGAGGTAGGCCAAAGAAGAATTGGGGTGAGGTGATTAGGCATGACATGACACAACTACAACTGACCGAGGATATGACCCGTGATAGGAAGGTGTGGAGGTCGAAGATTAGTATAGTAAGTTAGATAGTCTAGATTATTCATACCGGTAGTGTTAGTACGTACTCTCGCATTTGGTTGGTAGTAGACTTATTTCAATAGCTGTCATTTTTTTTTACAATTCGTTTATCTTACTATCTTATTGTGTATGTTGTTTTTACATAATTTTTGGATATTGTCTCATCTTGTTTCTTGTTATTATTGTGATACTTATTTTTTCGAGATGAGAGTCTATTGAAAACAATATATTTTTCCCCACAAAGGTAGACCCCACTGTATTGGATTATAGTGGGTATGTTGTTGTTTGCTCTTGTTATTGTGTTAGGCCAAATATTACAAACAGTACGGCGTCATTTATCACATGCAACTTGACCTAGAAAATCGCATAAAGTACCGACAGAGACGTTTCCACCCACTCTGAATTTTCAATTCCCTTGCGCGGGTGGGAGCTTGAACAGTACACGCTCATTGGAACTGTATATATATATATATTAATCACCTCAAGTGATGCCAAAAATTCTGACGAAGAGGACGACGACGAAGAATTAATCAGAGAAAGGGAATTAAATGGGAAATAACAGAGAGCCATTGTTGCATAAGCGAGAAGAAGAAGAAAATGAGTATTTTGAGGATTGTCCTGGTTGTAAAGTTGATCTGCTTAAACGCTCCGATAGGAGCGTCCCTGTTAAGGCCGTCTTCTACATCTCCATCGTCACTTTATGCGCTGGTCAGTTCTCTCTCTCTAGAATTTATGATTTTTTTCTTTTTAAATTTGAAGGGATTTAATTTGATGTTTGCCTGGTCATTTCTTGCTAAAAATTGATGACTTGAAAATTCTTATCATGAAAAGTGCTTATAGTAAGGAGACATTGGAGTACTAATCATGTAAATAGCTGCATTTGTTGAGAATTTGGGGGAAGTCAAATAAGAGGAAAATTCCTGTTTGGTTACTTACACTTAATTACGTGAAAAATAAATAAATTAGAATTTAACACAGAAATTCTTTCATTTGGTTACTATATTTTGCTAAATCAAATTCACGTGTTGCTCATTTCTATTCTGTGGACTCCCGGGTTGGTGGTGGGGAGAAATTGGCAGCTGGATTGAAGTGCCGATAAGCACGTAGCCATCACATTCACCTCGGTGTTCTGCTTCAGCGTGAGCCGCGTGACTATTGCAAGGGTTGAAACGTCAATTTTCCTTTTCTCTTAACTTATGAAAATGACCAACCATAGTCAAAGACAGAGTGTTTCAGCTTTCTCCTACCCTTTGAAAGCCATAGTGCGATACGGCCAAGTAACTTTTTAACCTGATTTGTCATTACACTAAATCTTTCCTTATATTCGTTTTTGCCCTATTTGTGCAGTATCACATGTTTTACTTCCGTTAACATTTGAATTTAAGACCTTATGACACTCTACCATATTATTGTTAAATAGAAAGCTATTCTTTACACTTTTGATGTAAAGCGTATGATAGAGGGAATCAAAGCTTTTAAAAAATATAATTAGGACATAAACAACTAGATTCACAGAACAATTAGGGAAGACATAAATTATTGGAGCTTCCGTGCTGTGATTAAAAAAGAATATTTAATTTTAAATTCATCCGTCATCGTTTTATTTATTTTTTATCTTTGAAGTAACGTGTACCCAATTACAGTCCATATTGCCTTTCTCAGGATTTTAAAAGATTTTGGTGTCACTAATTTCTCTCTTTAAAAAGTCTTTATCCCCATTTTGTCGTTACTTTTTAAGACTTAGCTGCTTTGGATTCGTCAGACGTTCCATATGGGCACATCGTTTTCTCCAATTTTTGGCCTTTGTTGCTCTTTTATCTTTCTTTATTATACTATTTAGTTAAAACAACTTCATCATTCTTTCATGTGATAGGGGTGGATTCTTAAACTCTATCTACCAAAGGCAGTGGTGTAAAGATAGTTACACGTACTGACTGACAAGTTCTTTCTATGCAATCTGGTCGCTTAAAAGATAATTAGAGTGACGTTAGTAGGTAATCTTGTAAAATAGTAACTAACCTGCTATGCTATGAGATGTTAATGTTAAGACTCATTATTGCATGCAAGGGGAGCTTACTTGATTCGCAGATTAATCCGACTCATAATTCACTTCTGACCCGAGTTCGATAGCGCGGTTGATAGTGTAAACATTTTTACATTGTCACTGTATATAATCTTCATTAATGCTACAAACACCAGATACGTTTGCTTCTGTCAAACTACATACTCTATTTAGTTCAGCAGAGCTTTCGTTGAAAAGATCTAAAAGAGTCCATGCATCATGGAAAACTCAAGCTGGGAACCACCAATGACAACAAGCTGCATCTACTTGTTATTTCTAGAGTCAAAGGAGAAATTCTTTCATAATGATTTCTCAAAATAATTTTAGTAGTTGTAAATTGAAACTTCTTTCAATAATACATGTGTATAAATGAACTGATCAATTTCCGAAATGAAAGAATGATCCTTCTGTAGGATTGCATTGAGGTGTTCATAACACGCATCGAAAGACAATAACAATCCTAGGCAGATCTTTTCATGTTTAAAATTTATTTTGCATGTCAAATATCGGATCTAAGACGTACCTGGTGAAGAGAGTCTCGTTTTAAATTTCTTCTTTAAAATAGAAAACTTCAACTTGTCCACAATATTAATTATATCCTCTGTGATAGCAAAGAATATAATAATATTTCATTTGGACTAATAACTAAATTTATTTGACTAATTAAATTCTTTAATTTAATTATCAAATAATAAAGTAATTAATCCTTTAGCAAAGATCAGGACACTCGTTAGTGTGCGACCCCATAGGTTCAATACTAAACCGGTAGTAAATTGATCACATCAATATACTAATTAAGGGTGGCGTCTAGCAATATTCCTTAACGACCGGATAGCATGAAGTATATAATTTACTCTCAAGAACCTGTAGAAGAATAATGTATTAATTCCTTCTGTTCTTATAGCTCTGGGTCACCCTAGGATATGGTTCAACTGTCAAATCCTAATAGGCGGCCGACTATGTGTTCATGTCAAAAATAATCGACCATTGAATGACCTAAGAAACTCTTTTCTTCTTTCATTCAATCGCCCTGGCCAAGGTCTTAATTTGGTCGGTTATAATTTATGACAACATGGAGCTTAAACTCATTACCAAGAGTTGACAGATTCCATCTTGATCAATCACTAATTTTACAAGTATTTAATCGTACCCAATATCCTTTCAACTATCGCCCTAGGGCCATAGGTGTCTAGTATCAAAGCACAATAAATAACTTGTCAATTACTATGATGATATCAGGTCAAAGGAAATTCTTACATCACATTCTTCAAGAGAATATCCTAATGACAGTTTATAGTAATTCTAACCATTAGAAATTATCCAATGAATCGGTTCAATGATCATATCTCTATATGCATCATCTATTTATGTTATTTAGTTAATGAGATCAACTATTCTTTATCCCATAAAGACGATCACATAAATATTGATCTACCTNATAAACTGAGTCAAGTATATTCTAGGACAAAACCAATTGATGAAATACTAGGATCAGAAATATGCAATACGGTGTGCCTGGCTATAACATAAGTTTGACATGAAAAGGTTAGGTGATTTCTTCCCATATATTTAAGTGTTGGTGGATAGAATTACTTGATACCTCTGTTAGTGGTGAAAGTAGCAGATATCAGATGAAATAATTGAGGTGCGCGCAAGCAATCTTCGAATACCACCATTATAAAGGTGGTAGAATGTTACATAAAGAAGTATATCATCTTGTTTAGTTGTTTATAAGATATACAAAGATGAAATATATTAACTCATGGAATAACATGCACATTTGTACATCCCTTAGTGCATAATCTCTTTAAATTTGTTGATCATCTTCGTCTTCAATTGGTACAACTTCTGAGTAAGATTATGTGTTTTAGAGCTTCTGAATGGATACATGCACCATTTTAAAACATGTTCTGCTTATACTAGTGACATTTTATTATCCTAGCATTAGCTTTGGTCTCGCATAAACATGTTGTCAGTTGAAAGAAATTGTGAAGCTTAATTTTTTCCCAGGTTTCTTCTAATCTTTAAGAGTTTTGCACTAACCTACTTTATTTCTAATATCTTTTGCAGCTTTGCCAATATCATCTCTGTTCCCTTTCCTCTATTTTATGGTAAATATCCACTATACTAAGTTTAATTGACTTGCTCTTGCATTTCTTGAGTTCTTTTTATATGATACTCCATATAATATTTGTTTTCATTCATGTACTAAAAGTAGTTTGTTCAAATCTAGGACATCATTTATAAATCATCAACCATAAAGTTTGTCTCTTTTTTGTGTCAAATAACCAAATTCATGAGCGTAACAGATTCAGAAGTTTGTGTTGTAGAGAGCCTCCAACTTCTTTGAGCACACTGCAATATTGTGTGTTCAATTTTTAAGACAGTGCCAAAAATTTAAACGCACGCTATGGATAAATCTTTACATATGGTATTTCATTTCAGTATCTACCGAGATTCAGTTTTCACTCATGCTCTTCAACTCTAAGAAAATTTATTAGCTTAAAGTCTTAAATAGGTTTTGAAGAAAGTAGTCACATATTGATGTTCATAGTGTGATTCTGCTGAATTCCTGATTATGAGCAGAGTTAGCTAGAGTCATAATTATAGCATAATATATAGCAGCCGCATGAGTTGCTTTGAAAGCACTTAGTGAAACGATTTATCTCCTAATTGAGACTCTCTTCCATCTTATCCATAAGATAGCTCTGCTCTTCTTGTTCATTTTGCTATTTTACCACCTGCTTAGCATCTAGATTATGGTCATGCCAATATCAACATTTTGATTCCTGCAGGTCAGAGATTTTCACATTGCGGATAGGGAGGAAGATATTAGTTACTACGCTGGATATGTAGGTTAGCTTCATTTCCTCGGTGCTTCTGACTACATGAGTTTTCAGAATTCATATCTTATATGTCTAGATTTCTTGAAGGTTCTTCATTCATGTTGGGAAGAGCTTTGACATCTATTCTTTGGGGAATGATTGCTGATCGTTATGGTCGAAAGCCAGTTGTCATTATCGGGACAATTACAGTGTTAGTAGTGCTGTTTAACTACTGTCACGGTGTATAAGATTTTTTTCAGAAAATATTAGCTTAATCCAATTTATATTTTGTTTCACTCAAAATTTCTTTAATAAATCAACTGCAGGGTTATCTTCAATGCACTCTTTGGCCTTAGTACAGACTTTTGGATGGCTATTTTTTTGAGGTTTCTCATGGGCAGCTTGTGTGGAATAATTGGCACTATGAGGGTAGGCCTTCATTTCTACTTGATAAAAAAATGTTTGTAGAAGTTATAAGCGCTATATTTTTTCTGGGATTGACATCTTGGTTTGCATGTTTAATACAAGTATTCTTTTAACTTACAGGATAATTTGATGAAAATACAGATATTCTTTTCTATCTTATTTAGTCCTGGAGAGGGCTTCACGTTCTTCTCAGTTGATAGTCCTCTTTGGTAAAATATAATGTTGTAATCTAGTTGATTTCCTAGTATCCATCTCTTCCTCTTTGTGCCAAAGAACTACTTAAGATGGTTTCTTATAAAAGTGAGGATGTTTTTGTAGAGTTCATTACTATGCATTATCACAATATAATATATGTACTATAGGTCTAACCACAGACTATTGGTTTAGTTACCTATCTTTTCATGAAGTTAGTAATTTATTGATGAACCCCCAGCAGAGAATATGTATATAAAGAGTCGAGAATCTTATATGAAAACATGATTCTCTACAAAGAGCAGTGAGTGTTTTCTTGTAATTTGTTTTTTCTCTTGTTCTCTGCTGTTCGTATAATTGAAGATTCGTGCATGTATATCTGGAGTTTTTCAGTTTGTTAGTAGTTTAATTTTATAGTATTCTTCACTCGAAAATTTTCCAGGCATATGCTTCTGAAATTTGCCGAAAAGAATACCATGCTTTGGGAATATCTGCTGTGAGTTGCTTCTCTCCCTCTCTTGTATCCAATTTTTCTCGAGGACAGTTTTCACTGCGTAATCTCAGAAAGCCTAGACAATAACAATGATTATCCATCTATTTTAGGTAAGCACATCATGGGGCATTGGTTTGGTTATTGGTCCTGCTATTGGAGGTTATCTTGCACAGGTACACATGTTTTTTCGTGGTATAATTCTTTGTCTAAGTTTTACTCTAGTGATGACTGAAGAACCATATTCCTTAGAGAAGTATCTATTACTTTTTTTTGAATTTTTTCACAATGATAAGGTTTTGGTCCGTACAAACAATATCATTTACATCTCTCATCAGAAACTACTTTTAAACTTGTCTTCCGTGAAACCGGATTTCAGTCTATGGTTTTCCAGAGAAAAATTGCTAAGCTAATATATTCCTCTGTGGCTTTAACTATAGTTGGTTAAGTGCCACGAATCAGCTGAATTATGTCTGTAGATCAGGAAAATAATAAGCTGGCTTCATTCTATCTCATGTCTAGAACTGGAAACTGAGGTTCATAGAAGCTTTAAGTTTCTGCTTTTCCGTCCTTTTAGAATAATCTTTATTATTGTTACAAATATAATTTGCGACTTACACTTTGTGTTCTAGCCTGCAGAAAAGTACCCTGGCGTATTCTCGAAGGACTCCTTATTCGGGAGGTAACCAATGCCTTGCCTGTTCTGTACCTTTGTTACTCTCAACTGACCATATATCTAAAATTTTGTGTTTCGTGCAATCTGTTTTCTCCAATTTCTTTCCTCTCTTGGTGAATTAAAAATTGATCTGTGGTTTCTACCATTGCAGATTCCCATATTTGTTACCTTGTCTTATGATATCACTATTTGCATTAGTTGCAACAGTAGTCTCCTTTTGGCTTCCGGTATGACTTCCGTTCTGAATACTTTATCATCTGATTTTTAAGTGCCATATTTCTGTTTCATATTCTTTTTTAAAATTACTTTGTGACAGTAAGTATATGCTGATGCTTGAGATAATCTATTTCAATCAACAGAATAAACTAAAGTTTCTAACATTTGACATATCTACTTGACCTAATACATTGGAGGGAAATAATATAATTGGATATTTTCTGCGATTGACAGCTTGTAACACATTGCAGGAGACACTACACAAGCATAACAAAACTAACAAAGATCAAAGTGATCTCCATGATGTTGCAGAAGGAACTACAAATGGTTTAAATTTGTCTGAGAGCATGAAGCATTCTGAACGCAGAATCCCGAATTCCCAGAAAAGCCTTCTTAAGAATTGGCCCTTAGTGTCAGCTATTTTTGTCTATTGTGTTTTCCAGCTTCATGATATTGCCTATTTAGAGGTATTTTTACCTTTCCTTCTGAAGATTTATGTTAATTAGAACTTGATATGTCATCCTTATTATCACATTCCAAATCATTTTCTAATGTGAAGCAAGTTGTTCTCATGTACAAAGTGTCTTGATCTACGACTACATTTAATTAAAATGTAAAAGGTTGTAAGTATTATTTACTTGTGCTTAAAGTTCTCACCTATGAAAACTGTTAAAAACATGTGACATGGATCTTTTATTTGCGTTGACGTATCTGTGTCAAATGAGTGACATGAGTACAAGTACTTTGTGGAAATTCTTAGAAACATACCAAAAATTGGAAAAAATTGCACATAACTACGTTTTGATATGTACATGTAAATGAGTCCACTGTTCAGATATGCACCTGTAAATGCGTCATTGCGTCCACATAACATAGTTAAAATCTTTGGAGTTACATTTGACTAATTTCTCTCAACATCTGGAATTAGCGGACAGACGCATAAGATTAGTTACGAATTCAAAATTGTGCATCTAATCATCTTCAATATTTCTTTTTCATTCTCTTGTTTTTCTGAAATTGAAGTCATATGGATACTGTAATAGTTTGGTTAATCTAGCATTCTAGGGAGCTTAATAATTGATGGTCGATAGACTTAATCAAAGAATTGATTTTATATGCTTCATGACGGTCAGCTACAATTTTATGAGTTCATCAGAAGATAAAGTGTTTGTCATTGAAGCAGTCTAAGGTCATTCAATGCCTCATGTTCTACAATTAATGAAGTATAACTTTATAAAGATTGTCAATCTGAACTCAGTTCTCAGGCCCTTGGTCTTGATATGGTATCCCGCTCTCCGAAAGAGGGGAATTACACTTGTTAGTTGGCGCTACATGTGCAAAAGCTCGGGGGAAGAAGTTGATCACCTTATGTTGCATTGCCCTGTGTCCTCTGCTTTGTGGAGGGCAATCCTGAATCTTTTTGGTGTTCAATGGGTGANAAAAGCTCAGGGGAAGAAGTTGATCACCTTATGTTGCATTGCCCTGTGTCCTCTGCTTTGTGGAGGGCAATCCTGAATCTTTTTGGTGTTCAATGGGTGATGTCAAACACTGTAAAGGAAATGTTACATAGCTGGGGCGGTTTTCGTAGAAGAAGAAAGCAGAAGGCGTGGAAGTTCGCCCCGTTAGCTCTCATGTGGGTAGTATGGGGGGAGAGAAATAGGAGAGCTTTTGAGGAGATTGAGTCTCCTTTTTCACATCTTAAGAATAGTCTTTTATCTTTGATCGCTTTTTGGTGCACTCTTTTAGCCCCTACTTGTATAGAAGATTGGGTGCTTTTTTGTAGAGAATCATGTTCTGATGTAAATTCTCTACGTCTTTGGCATACTTCGTGTATACGGGAGTTCTCTCCCCTTTGATTAATACAATTTACCTTATCAAAAAAAATGGTATCCCGCTCATCAAATTTGATTTTTTTTTGTATAAATATGTGTGTGCATAATTTATAATCATTCTATTTCGGCAGATTTTTTCATTGTGGGCTGTCAGTCCAAGGAATCTTGGGGGTTTAAGCTTTACAACTGCTGATGTTGGACAAGTTCTTGCCATCACAGGTACATAGACAGCTTGAATCCCTGCAGAAAAAAAATTATGCGCCATATGTTGTTAGTCAGGTAATTTGGATGATTAAGCATTTTATCCTTCAAGAAATCTCGAAGATGTCAACTAAACCATTATATTAGCCTTAAGGTGCTAGAATCAATTACTAAATCCCATGCTTATTTTCTAAAAATTCTTTTAAATCTAATATCATGGTTTCCATCGCAAGAATTCACTTCTTGGATATTGGATAGTGTGGGCTGCATTTAATAAAGAGCATTAATCTCTTTCATGATCTACCAGGTGTTGGTTTGTTACTCTTCCAGCTATTTGCTTACCCATTGGTCGAAAGGATTGTTGGGCCTGTCATGATTTCTCGTGTTGGCGCAGTATGCCCCTAATAGAACTGTGATATCCCTTTTGTTTCCTCTTCTGTTTACTTCATTTATTTGTCTTGGTTTTTAATTGAACTTATTCATCTTTCAGGTATTAAGCATACCGTTGCTGGCAAGCTACCCATATATAGCTATGTTATCCGGTTTCTGCCTATCCATAGCTCTTAACTGCGCATCTATGTTAAAAAATGTGCTCTCGGTAAGCCTTTTCCTTAAATCATTGTGTTCTTCAGTTTCTTATATTATTATTGATTGAAAATTTCATACGCAATAGGCACAATGTTAATTTTATTATTTTCTTTTAGGATTTTACATGTTTTTGTTCGACAGTTAGTCTTCATCAAGCACTATGAATATTCATCATTGTCAATAATGCAGGATATATAGGAAAGAGAGAGAAGCTATTGCTTTATTTTGGCCTTGTTTAGACTCTTAGTTGAATTTGTGATAGAGAATTTTAAAATTGAGAATCAAAAGTGTTATGGTAATGCTGTAATAAGTCTTGAACAGAGATGATTAAATGTTATTTTTCAAGCCAAAATCCTGCTTCATATAGGTTAATGGATAACTGTCTGTCTCTTCAGTGTTTGATAAATTTTTATTTTTTTTTTGGCTATTTCTCTTGATGACTAAGGTTCTCTGTACAAAGTTCTTCCCATTTGGTCAACAATATCCTTTAAAAAAAAGTGCCATCAATGAAGATTTAGTTCTATATACCAACCAAGCAGCTCTGTTTAAGAAGCCAATCCTCAAGTGAACCTTACTAGGGGAAACTCTGAAACCAAGTGTATTGCCATCAGTTGTTTATAGCCGAGACGCTTAAGATCTGTCAAATGTAATTAGCTAATCAATGGAACCTTGTTGGAATGTGATAGGTCTACACTGACTCCTAATGTACATGAATGAAGATGGGTTTATTTAACTAACTACTATACACCAACTCCCAACGTCCATTACGAAATGTGAGGGTTATTTAGTTTAACTGATATGTCATTCTCTCTGTTACAGTGATCTAACTTTTTGACTGGCTTTGACTAGACATCTGAACAGCAAAAAAGTTGGATTAATCTGATTATGTCGTCATTTTACTTTTTGCATGAGTGAACCTCATGATCTTTACAAAATATTTTATTTTCTTGGAAACAAAAGTTTAGTTGTATTGACCTAGATATATTTGTTTTGTCTTAGCTCCTTTCTGAGAGAAGTGAGAGGCTTGGCATAATTTCAGTTTGTATTTATTTCAACTACCTTTGGATGACTTTTGCAAATCACGGGGTTAATAGATTTTTGCATGGACTTGTTTGGTCTAAGTGGTTACTTTCATTGCTTGACCAGGTATCGATCACCACTGGATTGCTAATTATGCAGAATAGAGCTGTGGTGGGTTCACTTTTCCCATATCTACCTTATTTCTCATTGTGTAAAGTTTGTTGAGTGTGCAAAATGTTTTTTATCTCAGGCCCAGGAGCAAAGAGGAGCTGCAAATGGCATTTCTATGTCTTCAATGTCTTTTTTCAAGACAATCGGCCCAGCAACTGGGGGTTCATTGTAAGTTTCCAACTTCTTTCTACTATCTCTTCTCTTTACCTTCATCGATATTTGGTCCTTCAGTCATACGTTTGCAGTTTTGGCTCTAATTTCAGTTTGCTAAATAAGCCAATTCAAAGTAGAAAGTTGCAATGTGTGCCTGAGTAGATTTCGTTTCCTTGTGTCATATCTAATATGCTCTGATGTTCTATGTTATGATGTTGTCAGCAGTTGTGAATGCTTACGTGCTATACTTAAATGCACTTCTGCTTCTGGTTGTTTGCTCGACTTGGACCTTGATGAAATTGTTTTTGTTTTGCACTTATGATCTGCTGTCCACTAATCTTGATGTCTATTCAAGATCATTCTCTCATGATCACATCATGATCTACAATATATGCAGATTGTCCTGGGCACAACGGCGTCAAGATGCTGATATTTTGCCAGGTAAGAAGACAAGTTAAATTGGATTAAAGCTTGTCATGTGAAGCTGTAATTCAAGAGTTTGCAATTCATGTGCCAAAAGAAATTCATGATATAAATCAATCCGAACAAGCATCACACCCATTTGACATGGATACGTCAAGACAAATGAAACATCTGTGTAACATATAAATAGATGGAATATGGCTTTTAATGATCAACAAATGAACACAGGACTTTCAAGATAAGGCAGTGATTACATGAGATGAGTTGCCATTGGTGAAGATTCTGATAGATGGTAGTGGTTCCAGTTACTTATAGATGTCTATTTGAGTAAATTTGGGGCGCGACTTGATATATGTCCTAAAATGATAAGGTTATTTACTGTAGTAGGTCAATGCTAAAGAGAAAATTAGCATCATATTGTTTTTATTTCTTAGAATTTCTAAATATTTGGCTTCAAATGCTACATACATCATAAACTCCTAGATTCAATATGCTTGGTTCTCGATTATATAAGTTCATATCTAACAAATCAATAGCCCCGAAAAGTGTGGAAGAATTTATATGATATACCTTGATATCAAAGTCATTAGTCTCCTAATCTATGTTTTAAACTAACTAAATGTAGGAAATGTGATGTTATAATGCAGGTGATCAGCTGGTTTTCTTTGTCCTCAATGTGATTGAGTTGCTGGGCTTACTTCTGACCTTCAGACCATTTCTGCAAGAGCCTGAAGACAACATTCCTAAGTCCAAAAAAGACTCTGCAGATCAATCAGAAAATGGCATACAAGAGACGCTCTCACTAACAGAGTTGCCTTGAGTTACCAATATAAGCTATATTGCAAGTCAAATATACGAAAAAAATCTTCTTTTGCTTAAATAAAATTTTGCAGTATAAGTTAACAGTTAACGAATTCTCTTAAGATCATTGATTTCGTTGATTATAAACCTTCGTTTCCATTGCTGTTACAACTTACAAATTTACATCCATAAAGAAGAGGGAAAGGTGAAATTTTTTATAAGTGCATCATATAATATTTGAGCCTCATGGCTTTCAAACTAGAATTAAAACTACATTCACCAATAAGAGAAATCTTCCTTGCTTGTAGAGTGACGAAGGGATGCCAATTTCTATTACTATATTGTTTTGAATGTTTCTTCACCAAAAGACGTCTGAAATCAATCTACTGCTAAATACAGTTAACCATACACTTAACCAAGATAAATCAACTGAAATTGAAAGGTTAACGGTAAATCCAACTGTATATTTGGATCACTATACATTAATAAATTGAAATTTTAAAAAAATGCAAATTAGTTAAAATCTCTCCCTTTATATTTAAACAACTGCACCTCGATGTTCCCTACTCAAATCTTAAAAGAAAATCATTTCAATTGAGAAACAAGTAAAGATTTAGTTCAACAATACAAACAAAGACAAAGCATGTATTTGCCTCTCCCTTTACATTGACACGAACAAAGACAAAACATATTTGCGGACTCCCTTTCATTGAAAAAATTGTATCTAGGTGTTCAGTATTCATATCTTAAAAGAAGCAGAAGTCATCATCTTCCAACTGAAATGTCAGATTCTCCAATGCTCTTGAGGATTTTTCTTGCTTCTCCATCATCATTATCATCCTCAGTTACAGTTAGGCATTTTCTTTTCATCACAGAAGGTGTTGCCTCAGTATAGGACCTAATCAGAAACAGAGAACACGTGCATTAAAATATAAAGAAATCAAGTTAGGGAGTTTACCACTGTAACCTCTAAGCAACACCAACCTTTCCCAAGATCAATACCAGGTGTTTTCAACTTAGCACTCACATACATGATGAATAAACGAGAAGGTTTAATCTTGAAAACCAGTTAGAACAAAAACAAAATACTATACCATCACAATATCAACCAAAAGTGAAACAACCACCAGCTTCAAAAGGTTCGGTCAGCTCTAATTGAGTGTCATTTCAGAACATAACCTAGAAGGAACACCACAACATTCTCTCTGATTTTTCTTAGTAAAGTAAAACTTATGTTAGTAATACCAAACTTCTAATAAAACTAGAAGCATAACACCACAAGAATTTCTATACAGTTCTTGCTAGAAATAGTAGAACAAATGTTTTAATAGCTATGAACATAGAAAATTGAAACGATCCCAAACAGATGGATGATGTTCTCAAACATTAGCTATAAGGTTCATTGCGCAGCTTCCGCATCAACGCTGGACTGAGGAGGTCCCCCATCACCTGCCAAAAAGAAATAATCAAGATAACACGGAAAGGTAAAGAACAGTTGGCTCATAAACAACTTAAATGCATCATTTTTCTCATTATCACTTGCCTATATAGAAAATTCTAGCAATTCCAACCTCACAAGGTGAAAGCCTTGAACAGGAAAATATACGCATTATTTTGGCACAAGATACAAGTTGCAATGAAGATGTAGTAAGATAATTTATTTGCAGCTCGGATTGTGGAAACTTGCTGAAGCCACATAAGCACAAGTGCATCTACAATCCACATGCACCTTGACCTAAATTAAAAAAATCTCAAATTCATAGAGCAAAAGCTCGCCAAGTATTAAAACTAAAAACTGCGTAATAGATCAAACAGGTCAGAATGCCTTCGGACCTTCACTATACTGACCCAAAATAAACCACCTAGCAAAAATCAAACAGAGAGTACGGTCGATGGTTACTATCTCATGATTTCGAACCAAACACATCAGGGACATGTGCATCCAAACTAGGATGTTTGTACTTGTGTCGGTAAGTCTTCAAAGACGTCTTCTGCTAGCCCTCCTAATACTTTTGGGTCCAGTTATAATCAACAAGGGTTTCAAACCCTCTGTCAAGCAGGAGACAATAGCCAAAGGCATCAGCAAACTCTTACTAGTAAAATTAGCAATTGTACGGAAGCAAAGATGAAATATCTTTGTCTCTCCGGTAAGAACATTTGGATATTTGGAACTCCACAACATATCCTAGCCAAGCCAACAAGTTGATAGCTACTTCACAAGTGGATTACTGAAAAGCAGTAAATCCTAGCTCCTTTCAAGGCGATGCATTTGTCAACCTCTGAACGATGTCCCATTACAAGTCAGTGACACTAATAGATGGGAGGAGAGAGCTGGCAGTGGAAACTTGAGAGAAGAAAATTTTAGTTAGTAACACTAAAGGATGGGAAGAGTAGATTCTGAAATTTGCCCATCATGATTTTGTTGGGGATAATTGAGCTTAATGACCTCAGATCATCCTTATATTATGAGGGAGAAGTGGGAGGGATGATGACTTAAGTTGAGAGCTCTACCATAAACAGGCTGAAATTACTTGAACCATATTCCAGTTACAAAGAAACAGTAGAAGGGTCGGCACTTGACGCTAGAATGTTATATGGTTTATGTTTAAAGGAAAAGGTAAAAGCCATATGATATTCTTCTCTCTGCCCATGTGTCAGAGATATGCAAACTAAACAACAAATACAAATCAATCGCTCAGATATACGTGTAGGTTAGCATGTAAAAGGAAGTCCCAAAACCAAACATCAGATATGGAGGAAGGCACTTACCCCAAGACATTTATCTTTCATGAATCCTAGGATTGTACCACCACCCTCCAAGAGACAAGCCTATCGCGACCAAAACCCAGCTAGAATCTCCGGCGTACAACCACCCACGCGCCCTCACGCGCGGCCCAGTTCCGACGACTTCTCAGCCACGCGCCGGCGCGTGAGGCATATCCCGGCTAGATCTCACTTTTTCTCCTTCAGACAGCCTCATCACGAGGCTGTTCCGAGTCTTCCCGTCCAAAAACATCCAAATTCCGACGACTTTTACTATTTTACGGCGACGGGTGAGGCTTTCTACGACCAGACCTCAATACTTCTTCTTCATACAGCCTCTTCGCGAGGCTATTCCGAGCCTTCCCACCCTAGTTCCTCCTAAATCAGAAGATATTTTCTATTTTCCGGCGAAAATCTTCGGATTCAGGCAGCATTCTATGTATTTTCCGGCATCATGCGGCACCGGAGCTACGGATAGTATTTTGGGACAGCCGAATTTAGATATGATGGACTCTAGAGAGAGAAACTCCTACTTCTCTCTAGAATCTAGAAAGCTGGAAAACATGTCTTTCATCAAAGATGCCTCTTGGCCAGCCCTAGAACTTGGGAAAAATGCCATCGAAAGCTCGACGTAGGGCAGAAGCCGCACTTCTCGTTGTCTCAGGAGCACACCCTCAGGCGCAAGGGTTTCTTAGAATCTTGTCTGATTGAGTCTTTCTCCAAATGGGTTGGTTCTCCAGAGGCTGTTAGGAACTGGGCAGCAGAGGTATAGAACGTCAAGGACGGACTGAAAATATCACAACTGGGGGACACGCAATATCTCTTTCGATTTGTCGACGAGTCTCAAGCTTCAAAAATTCTTGTCGGAGGAAACAGGTGGTTTGATGGGAACTTCTTAAAGCTAGACAGATGGGTGGAGCACGATGGGTGTCTCGACCCTCGTTTCCCCGACGAAACTTTGGTGGTCAACATGGTGGGTCTCCCGGTGCATCTTTGGTGTCTTGACCTATTTAAGAAAATTGGGAAAATCTGTGGGGGTTTTATTGATGTCACTTGCAGCCTACACGATCTCTCGCGAGTGAGGATTGTGGTGAGGAAAGGGGTCAGAATCCTTGTCTCCATTGTGGTGGAAGATGGCTACTTGAGTTACAGGGTTTGGTTGAGCCTTGAATTTCGCCCTATATTTATTCCTGTGCTAGTGGCGGAAGAAAAGGGAAGGTCAAATAGAAGGGAGGGGAGGGGAAATCAGTCTCTGAATAGAGGGGAGGGCTCACCGAATCAGTGGACTAAGCCGGAATCAGACGTTAGATCAAGAACAGACGGGGGGTTTGAATTTGGGAGAAAAAGACAATTTTATCGGGAGGAAAAGACGTGAATGCCCCTGGGTTAGTGATGCGGGCTGGAAAGGCAGAATGGGCCAGTACTCTTTTAACTATAATAGGGTCGGGCAAGTTTTCAGCAAGTATAGGCCTGGGCCTCCACACATGGGTCCAGCAACTTTTTCCAATTCTATTAGAATTGACCCCAAGGGGCCCAGATTATAGCAAGTTGCGTCTGATAAGACTCCTAAGCATATGGGAGCAGTCGCTCCTCCTCCTTCTTCTTCTTCTTCTGTCAATGGTGCTTCACACAGTGGTATTTCTTCACCAAGCTCTAGTGACCTGCGCCCCTCTTCGGCCGCTGATCTAGGGGCAGCACCGGCTAAAGATGGTGGTGTTATTCTACGGCCTCCCGCCTCTGATGGCCCCAGCTCCATCGCCCCCTCATCTCTCCCTGTGCTTAGTTGTGCTGAGGTTACACTACAAGCTCCTTCTTCTTCTGGGGAGATTGTTGCGCCGACCCCAATTGATATCAATGGAGGGCCAGTTAATATGCCGCCAAGTGTTCCATCCCAATACCCTGCTGGCGTTTCTGGTCATTCCTATAGCAGCGAGGCGTTAATTTCAGAGGTTGGTGCCTCTCAAGGAAATGATGAGATCCTCCCGGCACCTAAAGTTCCTATTGTTAGCAATGCTATGGTCTTGTATTCCTCCGGTAGGGGCAAGAAAAGGGTACATACAGAAGACGCATGTCCAATTTCGTCACGGATTGGAGAAGGGGACATGTCCTTCTGGATGGAGGATAAACTATTAAACTTTGGAAAGTTCTTAGGTGTTTCTTTTGAAGGGAAGGAAGATAGGGTGCTAGAACTGTTGAGGGAGATTGAGCAACAGTCTTTTTATGAAGGTGCAGGGAGGGAATTGGGTAAAGATGTTAAGCAAAATAATTTAGGGGATGTAGTGGTGTACCAGAGAAGGGGTCGGGTGTGTGACAGGGAGAAAGGGACCGTAATGTATTACTTTTGTTTGCTGGGATCCCACGGCTTTATGGCATGTTCCTTTTTTCATAAGTCTTTTTAAGGGCTTTACGACATGTTATCTTCTTAGTTTGATTTTTCGATTCCTTGTTCTCGTGTACATCTCCTCGTTGGAGCACTGTCCTACTCAGCATGTTGCTAACAAGNCAAACAAAAGGGCCATCATCAAAGTGGGAGTTAGGGAGTGGGGTGCCAACCTAGTTTGTTTTCAAGAAACCAAAATGGAAGCTTTGTCGGATGCAATCGTGAGAAGTGTCTGGAGAGGTAGTTGGGTGAAATATGACTGGGTCTCAGCAGCGGGAAGTGCCGGGGGCATTCTTCTTATGTGAGATGATAGAAATTTGGAGGTAAAGGAGATTAAGAATGGAGTTTTTTTCTTTAGCAGCTCTCGTCAAAGATAGAGTGAGTGAGGTGGAGTGGGGATTTGGGGGAGTGTACGGACCGGTAGGGGAAGGGTCCAATGTGTCTTTCAGGGAGGAACTGGCCAATATTATGGGGGAATGAGACATTCCATGGGTTCTAGGGGGAGACTTTAACACTATTAGATTCCCTGAGGAGAGATTATGGTGTAGTCTGATTTCGAGGGCCATGGAGTAGTTTTCTGACTTCATCAATGATCATTTTCTCATTGATCTTCCTCTGTCAAGGGAAAGGTTTACTTGGGCCAGGGCGGAGGATTCCAACTCAAGGTCTAGACTTGATAGATTTCTGATATCGCCCTCCTGGGATGAGCTGGTGCCGAATGTGCTGCAGATTCCTCTACCTAGGCTGACTTCGGATCATTTGCCTATCTTTCTAGATGGATGCAGGGGGAGGGGGTGCGTGCTCCCTTCCAATTCGAGAACATGTGGTTGAAAGTGCCAGGATTTGGTGACAAAGTGAAAGAATGGTGGACAAGCTACGGGGTATCAGTGTCACCTTCATTCCGTCTTTCGAAGAAACTCAAATTGCTCAAGGGAGATATTATTAGGTGGAATAAGGAGGTTTTTGGGAGGGTAGAGATTAAAATGAGGGAGCTTAGGTATGAATTGGGGGAATTAGAGAGAGAGGAAGGGGCGAGGGAGCTAGATGAATCTGAGAAAGCAAGATTGGGGGAGGTTAAGAGGGAAATAATCGAGTTAGCAATAGCTCAGGAGACTAGTTGGCGGCAAAAATCGAGGGCGATTCGAATAGCAAGTTTTTCCACAGGGTTGCGGTCGCAAATCGAAGGAGAAACTTCATAGAGTCCTTAATTGTGGACGGGGTGATCCCTGGGGTGAGGGAGAGGAGGAGGTAAAAGGGGCGATAGTGGGGTTTTATGAGAACTTATACAAAGAGCAAGTTAGTTGGAGGCCTACTTTGGGGGAATAGAGTTCAACCACATAGGGGAGGGAGACAGTGAGTGGCTAGAAAGGGTTTTCGAGGAGGAGGAGGTGCACGAGGATGTGTCGAGTTGTGCTGGTGATAAGGCCCCCGGGCCTAATGGTTTATCCTTGGCCTTCTTCCAGCTCTGTTGGGACACCATTAAGGGGGAGTTGATGGAAGCCATTGAATACTTCCACGTGAATGGTGTTCTCGAGAGAAGTATCAATGCTTCTTTTATTACTATTGTGCCTAAGAAAGAAGGCGAATCTTGTATCAGAGACTACAGGCCTATCAGTCTCGTGGGGAGCATTTACAAGATTATTTCTAAAGTGCTCTCCAACAAACTCAAGAAGGTTCTTGACGTTTCTTTTTCGTCCTCCCAGAATGCATTTGTGGAAGGTAGGCAGATCCTGGATGCTGCTTTGGTGGAAAATGAACTTGTAGACTCCTGAAGGAAAAATAAAGAACCCGGCTTACTGTGCAAGTTGGATCTTGAGAAGGCTTTCGACCATGTCAATTGGGAGTTCCTCGATTTCATTATGATGCGGATGGGGTTTGGGGAAAGATGGAGGGGATGGATCAAGTTCTGCATTTCCTCAATCAGATTCTTTATCCTGGTTAATGGTAGCCCGTGTGGTTTCTTTGGCAGCTCCAGGGGTCTCAGGCAAGGTGACCCTCTATCCCCCATGCTATTAATTCTAGTGATGGATGCTTTGAGTAAAATGATGGATCGTGCGGCGGGTAGAGGTTTCTTGAGAGGATTCTCAGCTCCGATCGGGGTGCTCAGTGCCCGAAGAGTCTCCCATTTGCTTTTTGCGGATGACACCCTGGTTTTCTGTGATGCCGATATAGACCAGTTGACCTGCCTGAAGCAGGTCTTGCAGTGGTTTCAGATAGTATCAGGACTCAAAATCAACCTCGGCAAGTGTGAGATTTTCTCGGTGGGTGAGGTAGCTAACATTGATGTTTTGTCTCATGTTCTCAGATGTAAGGTGGGCTCTCTTCCCACTACTTACCTGGGTCTCCCATTGGGCGCTTCGCATAAGGATACTACGGTTTGGAATCCAGTGATTGAAAGGGTTGAAAAAAGATTAGCAGGCTGGAAGAAACGGTACTTGTCAAAAGGCGGTAAGGAAGTGCTCATCAAAAGCACTTTGTCGAGTATCCCTACCTATTACTTGTCTCTGTTGCAAGCTCCTGTGAGCATCACAGAAAAACTTGAGCGGCTTCAAAAGAATTTTCTTTGGGATGCGGTGGATGGAACTAGAAAGTTTCATCTAGTGAATTGGCAGACAGTCATTTCCCCAAAGAAGTGGGGTGAACTTGGAGTAAAAGATCTTTGGGTATTCAACAGAGCTTTGATAGGGAAGTGGCTGTGGAGATTCGGGGTAGAAGAGTATGCTCTATGGAGGGAGGTCATAGTAGAAAAGTACGATTCCACGGGAGGGGGTTGGAGGACCAAGGCAATCACAGCACCGTTCGGGTGTGGCATGTGGAGGAGCATCATGAAGAACTGGGAAGCTTTCTATGACAACATCACTTACAGGGTGGGAGATGGAAGGAGAATCAGCTTTTGGAATCACAGGTGGTGTGGAGAGGATACTGTGAGGGTCTCTTTCCCCCACTTCTTTAGAGTTTCAAACCAGAAAGAATGGATGGTCCAACAGATTCGCAAGGAGCATGAAGGGGGTAGTATGAGACCTCTCTTTTAGAAGGAACATGCAAGATTGGGAGATTGCGGAACTCCAAAATTTGTTGGCACTGCTATACGGGCAAGACAAGCCCCATCCATCTTGCGATTCTTGGAGATGGGGGTTGCGTGGCGATGGTTTGTTCACCGTAAAGTCCTTTTACCAGAGTATGTTGGTGAGAGAGAGGAAGCTACTTTTCCATACTCCTCGATATGGATTCCTAAGGCGCCCACGAAGGTGTGCTTTTTTGCATGGCTAGCGGCGAGGAGAGTGATCTTGACAGCTGAAAATCTGCGAAAGAGAGGAATTACGCTTGTTAGTTGGTGCTACATGTGTAAAAGCTCAGGGGAAGAAGTTGATCATCTTCTGTTGCATTGCATAGTGTCCTCGAGTTTGTGGAGGGCAATCTTGAATCTTTTTGGTGTTCAATGGGTGATGCCAAACACTGTAAAGGAAATGCTATATAGCTGGGCCGGTTTCCGTAGAAGAAGCAAGCAAAAGGCGTGGAAGTTCGCCCCGTTAGCTCTCATGTGGACAGTTTGGGGAGAGAGAAATAAGAGAGTTTTTGAGGGATTGAGTCTCCTTTTTCACATCTTAAGAATAGTCTTTTATCTTTGATCGCTTTTTGGTGCACCCATATAGTCCCTACTTGTGTAGAAGATTGGGCGTCTTATGTAGAGAATCATGTTCTGATGTAAATTCTCTACTTTTTGGTATACTTCTTGTATACGGGAGTTTTTTCACCCTTTTGATCAATACAATTTACCTTATAAAAAAAACAAATCAATCGCTCAATGAATTAACTGCTCTTAGCTGTGTAATACAATAAGAAGTCCTATTCGTCAGGAAATGACTTGTTTGAAAATATGAAACTTAAAGAAAGTACTTCAATGTAAGATTAGCAAAAAAAAACAGAAACCATAAGTTTGTATACAACCTGATAGAAAATGCAGAGTCCACAAAGTTAACCTTTCTTAAGCCTGCAAAATTCCACACTTGGGGTTCCACCAATTTCGTCCCACACCAATGCTTGAAAGATCTTTATTGTATCATCAGTATCCCTGGCTTGAAAGGTGAAATAAAATCACATCCCAGCAGCAAATGATGCGTTTACCGTCACAATTTCCACGAACTCATACTTTTTAGCCTACCAAAGAAGACAGCCGGAAAAAAATCAATTACAATCAATATTAGCGTTCATGCAATAATCACATTAAACCAGAAAAAGAATAAGGCAAGCACTTACACTCTGTGAATTGAAATCTCCAATTGCCAAGCCGCACAGATCAGTGTATTTCTGTTTTTTGTTTGGATCGGTCAGGTAACTCTTTAGTGGCACAATTGAGGAGTTAAATGAAGCACCCGGGTAGACAGTGATATCAAAACCCTATTGCACAAACCCAACAACGAACTATTAAAAGTGATGCCAATGAATAATAACAAAGTAAAGCATGCAATAATAATAGCATCATAAGCAGCTAGCCTCGCTTTCATCCAATTCCTTGTAATACTGATCCCAGACCTTGGGGTCCACCTTGGTACCGTCAATAAGCTCAAAATCAGAATCATCCGAGTCGTAGGCGTAGTGGCTTTTGCCGGAATCATTTGAATCGTCAACTTCTTCTTCATCTTCCTCTGCCAATTCTCGTTTCCTCCCATCGCAAGGCATCTCTTGCTCTTCCATCGCAATAAGCTCCCTGAATTGATTTTAGCCCTTTCTCCCTACTTTATGAATGTGTGTTTGTATGATTTTTAATGCTCATGTCGCGTCAAATATATAGCACACTAGTTAATTTGAATATATTATAAAATAAAAATTGTAACATAAAAACAAGTATAGAAGAAAGTATAGAGATAAACTGATATATTATTCAAATTTTAAACTTATGTATATAATGAACTGAAAACTCATCTATTTATAAAAGAAAGGAAGCTATTTGTAAACTGTTGTGTAAGATGCTACTGCAAGTTGCTGTGTAAGCTATGTAAGCTGCTTGTAAGCTGTTGTATAAGCTGCTTGTAAGCTGCCACTATACCAGATATAAATAATCTTCTATCAGGAGTTATGTTTATCCATAATGGAGTACCAAAATGATAAATTTTTTCAGAAAACTTATTTCCAATAGAGTACTAAATAGATAAATATATTTACGACGGAGTCTCATATGGATAAACTTCTTCAGGAATNTTAAAAGTTGAAGTTGGCAAAGATTTAGTGAATAAATCTGTCGGATTGTCACTTGAACGGATTTTTTACACATCAATGTAACTATTTTTCTGAAGATCGTGTGTGTAGAATAATTTTGGTGAAATGTGCTTCGTTCTATCTTCTTTTATAAATCCTCCCTTCAATTGGGTTATGCATGCAACGTTGTCTTCATATAAAATTGTGGATCTTTTATCACATTCCAAACCACATTTTTCTTGAATAAAATGAATCACTGATTTCAACCATACGCATTCCCTACTTGCTTCATGAATAACTATTATCTCAGCATGATTTGAAGAAGTAGCAATAATAGATTGCTTTGTGGAGCGCCATGCTATGACACTACCTCCACATGTAAATACGTATCCGGTTTGAGATCGAGCTTTATGGGGATCAGATAAATAACCTGCATCTGCATAACCAATAAGATCTGCACTACCTTTGTTAGCATAAAACAAAACCATATCAAGAGTTCCCTTTAAATATCACAAAATATGCTTAATCCCATTCCAATGTCTCTTTGTAGGAGAAGAGCTATATCTTGCTAGTAAATTAACAGAAAATGCTATGTCAGGTCTTGTAGCATTAGCAAGATACACAAGTGCACCAATTACACTGAGATATGGTGTTTCAGGACCAAGGAGCTCCTCTTCCTCTTCTGGAGGTCGGAACGGGTCCTTATTCACTTCAAGTGATTGAACAACCATTGGTGTACTCAATGGGTGCGCTTCGTCCATGTAAAAGCATTTTAAGACCCTTTCTGTAAAGGCATATTGATAGATAAAGATCTCGTCCGCTAAATGTTCAATTTGCAGACCAAGACAAAGTTTTGTATTTCTAAGATCTTTCATCTCAAATTCTTTCTTAAGATATTCAATTGCCTTTTGGAGCTCTTCTGGAGTTCCAACAAGATTTATGCCATCAACATAAACAACAAGTATACAAATTCGGATGCCATTTTCTTTATAAAAATACATGGACAAATAACATTATTTATGTAACCTTCTTTCAGCAAATATTCACTGAGGCGATTATACCACATGCGCCCAGATTGCTTTAAACCGTACAAAAATCTTTGTAATCTGATTGAGTACATTTTCCGAGATTTTGAATATGCTTCAGGCCTTTTAAATCATTCAGGGATTTTCATGTAAATCTCATTATCAAGTGACCCATACAGATAAGCTGTAACCACATCCATCATATGTATTTCAAGCCTTTCACGTAAGGCTAAATTGATGAGATATCGAAATGTTATGGCATCCATAACGGGTGAATATGTTTTTTCATAATCGACTTCATGTCGTTGTGAGAATCCTTGTGCGACAAGGCGAGCCTTGTACCTTTCAACTTCATTTTTGTCATTCTTTTTTCGCACAAAAACCCATTTATGACCAACTGATTTTATACCAGCAGGTGTTTGGACTACTGGTCCAAAGACCTCTCTTTTAGCAAGTGCGTTCAATTCTGATTGAATTGCCCCTTGCCATTTTGACCCATCAAATCTTTGTCGATATTCTTCAATAGATCGGGGTTCAAAATCCTCACTATCTTGCATAATGTTAAGTGCAACATTATAAGCAAAAATATTATCCACCACTATTTCAGATTGATTTAAATTAATCCCATCACCAGTAGAACTTATTAAAAGTTCCTTGCTCACTTGAGTCTTGGGTTCATTGATTTCTTCAGGAATCTCAGAACTAATCAGTTCTTGGGTCTCTCCAGGAGATCCCTTCATAGTATCGTTATCATTTGTCGATTTTCTTTTTCGAGGATTTCGATCCTTAGAACCCAAAGGCCTACCACGCTTCAGGCGTGCCTTAGGTTCATTAGCTCTCATGCTAGTAGATGGTCCTGCTGGGACATCAATTCGGATAGGCACATTCTCTGCAGAGATATGTGATTTAGTTATCCTATTCAAATCAGTAAATGCGTCTGGCATTTGATTTGCTATATTTTATAAATGGATGATCTTTTGGACCTCCTGATTACATATAGGGGTACATGGATCAAAATGATAAAACGATGAAACTTTCCACACAATTTCTCTTTTGTTTTCCTTTATCTCTCCCTTAATTGTGGAAAATTTGTTTCATCAAACCGATAATTTGCAAATCGAGCAGTAAATAAATCTCCCGTCAATGGCTCAAGATAGCAAATAATAGAGGGTGATTCAAACCTGACATATATTCTTAACCTTCCCTGTGGGCCCATCTTACTGCATTGTGGTGATGCTACTGGCACATATACAGCACATCCAAAAATTCGTAGATGGGTAATATCTGGTTCATGACTAAAAACTAATTGTGACGGAGAATATTTATTATAATGTGTCGGTCTGAGACGGATAAGTGATGTTGCATGCAAGATAGCATGGCCCCAAACAGTAGTGGGCAATTTTATTTTCATAAGTAGTGGTCTTGCTATCAATCGCAGGCGTTTAATAAATGACTCTGCAAGGCCATTTTGAGTATGAACATAATCTATATGATATTCAACTTTTATCCCAACTGATAGACAGTAATCATCAAAAGCTTGAGATGAGAATTCTCCAGCATTATCAAGGTGAATAACCTTTATAGGATAATCTGAGAATTGTGCCCTTAATCGAATTATTTGGGCTAATAGCTTTGCAAACGCAGGTTGCGAGATGATAGTAGGCACACATGAGACCATCCTGAAGATACATCTAATAGGACCATAAAATATATAAACAACCCACTTGGTGGGTGAATATGTCCACATATATCTCCATGTATACGTTCTAAAAAGGCAGGGGATTCAATGCCAACCTTCATTGGTGATGGTCTAGTGATCATTTTGCCTTGATAACAAGCATCACAAGAAAATTCATTATTTGTAAGAATCTTCGGGTTCTTTAATGGATGCTTACTCGAATTTTCAGCAATTCGTCGCATCCTTATTGATCCAGGATGGCCCAAACGGCCATGCCAAAACACAAAAATATTTGAATCAGTAAACTTCTGGTTTACGATAGAGTGTGCTTTAACTGTACTAATCTTTGAATAGTATAAGCCAGAAGATAAAATTAGTAATTTTTCTACAATGTACTTCTAGCCAAAAACATTCTTTGTAATACAAAGATATTCCATATTCATTTCATCAGTCGTCTCAAACTCAACAAGTTTCTTCGGGACTTGGAGGAGAATAATGCATTGTCTATTATAAGTTTTGTTCCCTTAGACAGAAATATAATTGGTCTTCCAGAGCCTTCAATCAAACTTATATTACTAGAAATTATTGAAACATTTGCTTTTTCCTTATGCAAATAAGAAAAGTATTTTTGATCCTTGAATATGGCATGAGTTGTTTCACTATCAATTACACAAATATCTTCATGATTGGTCTTTGATCCAAACATAATTTGAGAATTATCCATATTCTTCAAAATGACATAAATAAAATATGTTATAGTAAACATCATTATCAAAGCATAACTTTTCAACAATTACATAACCATACTTTCTATTACAAACAACCAAAATTAAAATATTTACATTTCTACAGATTCACCACCGATCACATGACTTGTTTCTCCTTCTGGGAGTGCAAAGTAATCAGCTACATCCAAATGCATGAAGTCTAAATTATCTTCAGAAATAAAATTTGCTTCAGCATTTTTCTTTGCCTTCTTCAGGGAGACTTGATAAAGCTCAACCAGATGCTTTGGCGTACGACAGGTGCGTGACCAGTGCTCTTTTCCTCCACATCTATAGCATGCATTTTCTAGTTTTGCTGCTTGCACCGCTTCATGCTTTTGTTCTTTCCTTTTTCACTAATGGTGGTGATGAGGGTTCTTTGGTGCATTATTATTACCATGATTAGAGTTTCTTCCCCGACCACGGCCATAACCACGACTAGGGCCACGTCCTCTTCCACGCTTAGCTTGGTGGAAGTTCGTCTCATTCACTTCAGGGAATGGACAAAAACCAGTAGGTCGGCTTTCATGGTTTTCATTAATAGCCCATTATGTTGCTCGGCTACAAGAAGATGTGAGATAAGTTCAGAATACTTTTTGAATCCTATCTCTCGATATTGCTGCTGCAGGAGCATATTCGAGGCATGAAAAATTGTAAAAGTTTTCTCCAACATATCATGATCAGCAATATTATCACCACATAATTTCAATTGAAAAATAATTTTGAACATAGCAGAATTATACTCACTGATAGATTTAAAATCTTGTAGCCTTAGATGAGTCCAATCATAACGTGCATGTGGAAGAACGACCATCTTCAGGTGGTCATATCTATCTTTCAAATTATTCCACAGTATGACTGGATCTTTAACAGTAAGATATTCCATTTTCAGGCCCTCATCAAAGTGATGGCGTAGGAATATCATTGCTTTGGCACGGTCTTGGTTTGATACTTGATTTTTGTCCTTGATGGTGTCTGCCAAACCCATCGCATCAAGATGAATTTCAACATTAAGCACCCAAGACATGTAGCTTTTGCCCGATATATCCAGGGCTACAAATTCAAGTTTAGAAAGATTTGACATTATTTAGAAAAAGAAAGTTC